CACGGGAGCCACTGCATTATTTAAAGTCTCGCCTGTAGCCTAGAATTAGTTCAACTTGCAATTTCTCATTTGAATAAATTAAAACTTTTGTCGAAAAATTTGAATTGTTTTAAATGGCTTTTATCGTTTTTTGTCAACAGCTTTGGGTCACAAAAATGCATTCAAGTTTAATTAACTTTATGTTTTTAAATTTTTTTTTGTGCAATAAATTACCACAATCAAAATTAATGACATTTTTAGTACAAAAACAACACAATCATACATTCATCTATATCCTTATATTCATCCATTACTCAATTTTTATTTAAATGTAAATGATTTTCAAATGAATTATTGTAGATAAATTTGTGAACATTATTGTTATAAATAAGCATAAAAAGTACCTGTGACAAATTTTATTCATGATGACAGAAAGCACTTTCTATGTGTGCTGTGGTCTGTAGCTTACAATTGCTCTTGTGTGAAATGTATGGAGTGGAGACTAAAGAGGGAGCTTTTAAATACCAAATAAATCAAATTCATTCAATGGAGCATGCATTTTTCATGCATTTTCAAAATGCATTTTTCGAAAAATTCATCTTTAAAACGTTCAGTGGAGATATGTTACGTAAGTGATTTAAGTGAGAAATTGGTGTTTGAAACAGACAGTGGTTTGTATGACCATTTTTAAAAATGTTCACTTATAATAAATAATATAAAGAACACGTAAAAAGATTCATCTGTACATTCTTACATGTGTTGAAGAGATATATTTGTACAAAAACATTCTTGCGTGTGTTTTTTTTTCATTTTAAAGCCTCGTTCAACTTCCGACAAATTGGATCAACATTCTTTTCTCATCCCGCTTGTCTTTAATCTCCATATAATGATGCCATTGCGCCTGCTCATTTGATCTCTTTAAAAAATAATTCCTTGAAAATAAAAAAAAATTATGTTTTGTTTTTTAATAGCAATGTTTTGTCATAAAGTTCCTATAAGAATAAAAAATTGTAATGGCTTTTGTTGCGTAAAACTTTCTGACATTTGTAGGTGGAACTATTTTTTGAAGCGGTTTCAGGCATTAAAAACTAAAAATATAAACATGCGTATAAGTTGTTGGCAGAGCAGCACGTAAAAAAGAGATTCGTCATGTTTGCGTGCGGGGAAATTTTTGTGAAGGACAGTTTTTTCCAGTATAAATTCTACAAAAATTTTACCACCCATTTAATGTGCTCTTGCAAAAGTATACATTTGAAAATAAATAAACTTTATTTAGAAAACGCAATCTAACTGTCACAAAAAATTTGAAAAAATTTTATTTAACTTTTTAATCAACTTTTTAAAATTCATTATAAAATTTGTTTATATCTGAAAGCAAAATATCAGCAATGTACCGTACACCAATCTATCACCTAAAACATTTCATTACATGTACATCTCAACGATTGGTTTTTGTGAGTTTTTAAAAACAGATCTTTGAATTCTTATACGTATTGTTTTTGTTTTCAGAAGCGAAACACCTACACCATTATTATTGTTATTATTATTATTATTATTATTATTATTATTATTATTATTAGATCTAGCTTAATCAATTCTGCGATAGCATCTACATACGCAATATATTGTGACAGAAATAAAGCTTGACTCTAGTTTTTATATTATTTTATCATCTTTGTACACATTCATAATGACGAGCATTGATGTTAAATTATCCATTATTTTAATTTTTTAACTATTATAATAATTGATCATTTTATATTTAATTGTAATTTTTATTTATATTTTGGCTTTTGAAGAAATAAAATAGTTTTCATTTTTATCATCATTATCATTGTTATTATTATTATTATTATTATTAATTTATATCGCGTCCTATGCATACCTTCAGGGACACTTGGATGGTGAATGACTTTTGACGCTTCTGTAGGCCTGGATAAACAAAAGTTTTTTAATCGTTTTCTAAAAAAAATGTGATGGTTGGCTGTTGACGAATGATGGCAGGCAAACCATTCCAGATGGAAGGAGAGCTGTATGTGGAACGTTTGTTGACAACTGAGGAATTGCTGAAATTTCATTATCGCTTTGTTGTCTTCAAAAATTTTGTTTAAAAAAGACAATTGAAATCCCATTTAATGCGATTAATAATACTTATTATGGTCTGTTCTTAAAAGGTCATAGTGTCAAATTAAAATTTTAAATTGAAATAATATAAAAACATTCAAAAAATTTAATTTTGAATGAAAACAAATATAATTTTTTTGCGTCAATCAGGTTGATAAGAAGCTTACTTGAAAAAACTTAAAATGGATTGAGCATGAAAACAAATATAATTTTTTTGCGTCAATCAGGTTGATAAGAAGCTTACTTGAAAAAACTTAAAATGGATTGAGCATGCTATCAAGAGTAAAAAAAAAAAGCTAACCGAATGTTAATAAAAGTCATAATTCAATTGAAAAGCCTGCAGTAAAAATGCAAAACAAAAAAATCAATTTGCAATAACTTTTTGAGAAGTGTATTCAGTGCTGGCTGAAGGTCGGTTGCTGTCTGGAATAATTTCTTGAGAGGACGAATGACATTAGAGGAAGAAGAATCTGACTGGTGAAGTGACGAAATGATGTAACAACAAAGCACCAAAACATCTTCTGATGGAGTTAGATACGATATTACACATCATTAGAGTCGTCACTTTTAAGTTTCATCCAGCAACTCTTTTTATATCAGTCGATGTCATCATTGATAAACTGATCTATATGAGAAAAAACTTGTCACTACCACCATCATAGCATCATCAGAGTCGTTAATTTTATAGAGTTACATAAATGTTTACAGTCCTTTCATTGCACAAAAGTATTGAAAAATTAATTGAATTGAGAAAATAAAACCAAAAGTTTTAAAATAAAATTAAAAATAAAAACTCAGATTTGTGAAGTGATGAAAGTTTTTATGAAATCAATTGAGTCTGTAAATAAAATTTTTTGAGTTATTGAAGATAGATATTAATCCAAAAATGAAAAAAACATATTTTTAAATTTTAAATTTCCAAAATTAAGTATGATATTGTAAAAAGTGTCTATGAAAGAAACAGCGCCAATTAACCTGAATGTTTGAAAATCAGTTTATAATGATTTAATAAGTTGGAGAAGATGACAAACATGATGGTGATAATGAATAATATGATAATTGATGATAATGATGAGTGGGAATGATGATGATGAGTAGGAATGACGGTGATGATGATGACGACGACGATGATGATGTTGATGGTGGTGATGATGATGATGATGGTGATAATGATGATGATGGTGGCGGTGGTGATGATGATGACGACGACGACGATGATGATTATATTGAGACCTGACATGTAACACTTACAAATTGTTTAAAAATAACTCGAGACAAAAATGGGCAAAAATAAAATTCGCCGCTTGCACTTGCAAAATGTCACAAAGCTGATCAAAACCAGGTAAGGTAATTTACGTTCTGTGAAATAAAAAAAATTAAGCACTTTTCCGAATTTTTAAAAGTTTCGTTCGCGTACATCTGTTTCATATGTTTCATCTTTTAATTGGTTATTATACTTTTGCAGAATTAAAAAGACCAATGAAAAATTTGTCCTTTTAAACGTAGCCTGTTCAGCGTCTGCAACCGTCGATGAAGTTGTTCCTGTCGTGTCCCATCATCTTCATCACCCATCATCTTCATCTAAGGAGACCCGACTACCAGACCATGAAAAAGGAAAATGTTGAAGATTCTGTATAAAATATGGTAATATTATACTTGGAAATCATAAAAAGAAGATCATTAACTTTAAAATTTTGCAATTTTATCTCCCGCCGAAACTGAAATTAACGGAAATTAGCAAAAAAGAGGCCATCAGCTTTAAAATTTTAAAATCATCCCAACCGCAAATTTCTGAACCCCCCACTGCTCTCATGTTGAGAATTTGACTTATGGTAATAAAGTTAAAAGTTTAAGCGTTGTGTTAGACAATTTTTTAAAAATTAAACGTTTCTTATATCAATATTGTAATAAATAAGTCGTACATGCAGTTTTTTTTAAACAAGTTTAAAACTTGATGTGCAAATTGACCAAATTTGATGAGTGAACTTCAATATATTTACATATTTATCTAGTTATCTAGAGGCTTAAAGTTCCACTTCGATTTTTTTTCCCTGTGCCCTGTATTGGTTGGTTGTTGGTTCACCAGCAGTACTTTCATCAAAATAATGTTTCCCTCGTTGTACCTTCTTGTGTGGTTCAAGTAATGACTTGACGTTAGAGTTTTTAGTTGATTTTTGGCGACAATCATTGCTTGTTAATAGCCGAACTCTCTGTAATTTTCAAAAAAAAATACCTTTGTTAAGCTTTTCAGCGGACTTTACTAGATACATATCTTTTGTCTGCGTCGCTTTATTTAGTATTTAGAGCGTTTGTTTGAGATAGTAGATTGCATCAAGCAATCAAAAAGACTAAAAACCTATTTAGTGATAAAGTTTACAAACGCATTTGGCGCTCCCAGTCACCCGGCACCTTCGAGTTGCGCCCGACCATCTTGCCCCCTCCAGGATGTCATCGACAGTAAGCACTGCCTTTCAACATTATCCTCATTTTTTTATAATTTGTTATACTTGTTTCTATGTATTTTTTCTATATTTTTTTAATCCAATTAAATTTTTGGCGTAGCAGTTTACAATTTTGTACATAAAGCAGTTTACAATTTTGTACATAAGAAACCGAACAAAATCAAAATTTTGATTAATAATTTTTATTTCAACATTTTATTTGATTCATAATTAAACCCACTAAACATTGGAAATAATAAATAATGTAAGATGATTCAACAAGCCACATTATCATAACTTGAGTCACAAGTGGATGCACATAATTAACGTTTGAGTCAGCACTCTGGCGATTATACTATTCCAGAGGGTGGAAATACGATCAAATTTTATTATTTAATTTAAGTAAAAGCAGCTAAATTTTTAATTAAAAAAATGTTGTCCACCATATAATTGAAATTAAATGTCGTTTATCAATTCTTGCCCTTGTCCGCCCTCCATGGCAGCTTGGAACATGGCACCCTGCTGGAAAATGAGCCTCTTTTTTTCCATCGTCGAGTACGTGCGTCTCTTTCCCTTGAACATGGTTGCTGTCAGTGCCAAACATAACACTACCGTAAAAAAAAGTAAATATTTCCTTCAATATTCTTCACGGATTCAGTTGATTCTTGTTTAAATTTCCTTAATAATAAGTTCTTTAATAAGTTGGCACAAAATTTTTATTAGCCTCACTTCTTGCGCTATAAAATTCATGGTGCAGCAACAAATGTTACAAAAGCTCATTTACTCCTTCGTGTTGAAGAATGTTTATTTTTTTAACATGAAATGTTAAAAATGTAATTTTTATACTAAACTGAACTAGTATTTGTCATAAAAATTAATTGTTATTATTAACTCAGGAGAATAATTTTTTCTCTCTTCTATTATTTGAGAATTATTAAATACTTTTGCATAATTTCATCTATGTTCATGTTTTCATCCTCTTTATTAGGCGTGATGGCCTGGTCCTGTTACGCAGTAGCCGGGTTCAAATGGGACAGAAGTTTCTTCGCCTATTACATGCTTTGCCTATAATGCATCGTTTAGTACGTATTCAATTATGCGGTTTGTGTGTTGTTGTGTCCACTAAATTTTAGAAGAGCGTATGAGGCCTTCAACCTTTTTGTCATTTATATTTTTGTTGTTAGCATCGTAAATTGAAATTTCGTCTCGAAGAAAAATTTGCGAATGAAATTTATAAAAAGACTTCAGTTAAACAGCGGTATATAAAGTCCAACTGTTTCATTGATTGACTGATTTATTGCTTGCTTGTAAACTCAAAGCCGACGTCTGACAGTTTGAGGTGTTTTTCAATATTATTATTAGCAACTAGCGAGTAAAAAATGAAACAAATATTTATTTATCTGACGTTTACAAGTTCACGTTTGAAATTCAATACCACAAATTTACCATACATGTCATGTTACTGAAACAAAACCAGAAATGAGAAAAGAAGTTATTAAAGCTCACCCTGACATAGAAAAGCCAAGATGAAGAGAGATGTGGTGATGAGGAAGTAGAAGGCGTACCACCATTTAATGACGTCCAGGCAGCCGATCTTGTATGGGATCAGTTTGTAGATATGCTGAAATATTTTAAAAATTTGAAACACGTGTTGAAACAATTCTAATCAGAAATATACGTGATAAAAAATTTTAATAGTCAGTATTGTTTGAGATAAACAGATTGTAAACACTCACGCTGTAAGATGTTTTCCACTCGCAGGTTATATTCACAAATTCGGCATAAACTTTGTTGCAGCAACTCTCCGGAATGGCGATAATTTCTGCAGTTATTTCGGTCGTCCACTGCACGTAGAACCATTCCGTGTAGTTGAGGTTCCCACAGCAGGCGTATGTCTCCTGGATGGAGTTGATGAGGCTCGCCAGTTCTGGTTTGTTCTGATAATCAGCCATCACTTGGAAAAATCCATCCTTCATCGGTCGAGAAATTTAAATTTTACTATTCTTATCATATTATATTATACTTGAAAACTAATATTACACATTTTAGAAAATTTTATGTTGTATTCGCTTATTTTATACAATGTTTTGTGATAAACTTTCAAATCCACAAATAGTTTTGTCACCAATAACATTTCTAGTCTAAATCCTGACATCATAAATCAATAAAATGTCTATGTTTATTTAAGTAAGTTTTTGTTTAATGTATAGGCACTTAACAATACTAATCAGATATTTGTATGTATGTTTGAATATCTGTACAAACGAAAAAGTATGTACGTCAAAGATGTAGTCAACCGTCATGTAGCAGTAAAAGACGACGAACGTGAACGCAAATAATATCAACGAGAGCGAAATATCCCAGATTAGAAAAGTTTGAAGAGCAATGGTCGTCGACTGTCTGTAATCGGGCTGATCCTCAATATAATACAGCAGAGAGCCGTAGATGCTGATGAAAGCCATAATGCCGCTGAATGTGGCCAACTCGCCCGTCAGTTCGGCATTCTTGAACTCAGGAAACAGTTGCGTGTATTCACCGAATTCGAAATGAGCCGTCAAGTTGACTGCGATTGCCGAGATTCCAGCGAGGAAGATGAGAAATTTTGTGAAGACGATGACTATGCCGTGTCCTTCCTCGTAATCGTCAATGCCTATCTGGTTACCTTCCATCCTGGATTCTTAGCAAACCAGTTAAATTTTTGAAAAAAGCATCAACTTTATATTGTTTTGTTTATTTAATCTCTGACGTCGTTTTAGACAAGCTAATTGCCTGTGAAGCAATGAAAGTTCATTGTTAGTAAAGTAATGGTTATATAAAGTAAACAAGAATATAGATCAAACTGAAATATTATTTTAATGTTATTAACTTGGGAAAAACTTCAAGAGGCGGTCCTTGGTCTCCCTCGGCGATTGTGAACTGCATCTTCTTAAGCTCGAAATACGTTAAACCTAATAGATTTTGAATGTCATGTTACGTATCGCTTCCAAAAATGGTCGAATGTAAGTTGAAGCATATGCAAATTTGTGATATCTTAATTTTTTTAATTGAACATTTGAATGTTATCAATCAATAATAGATTGAAGTTTGTAATTTCTTGATTTGTAATTTTTTTTAATTTTAAATTTTGTAACATTGACTTTACGGTGAGTAAATAATAATATTATAATTCATTGCGTCTAAACATTTTTGTATTTTCGTCCAAAATTGCAAAACGTTTCTTTCTTATGACATCACGAAGTTTATAGAAACAAATTTATTTTATTCCAAACTAACAGTTGATCAAAACCATTTAAGTTTTTGCGATTAACATACACGCACTAAAATATATACCAAAGTATAATAATAATAATAATAACAATGGGCGCTTCACAATCGTCGTTAAATTCCCACGGCGACCGGGGTCATGCAGGTCAAAGTTCAAGGACAAGAGGTTTCGGCGATGGGGTGGTGTGCCGGAAGAGAAGTAGAGAAGATGGCAACGATGAAACAGATGATTTGGAAATAAAAAGGTAAATTAAACGGGGTAATAAGATGCCGATATTGTCTTCTACTAATCTGGCTACATTTTAAAACTATTTCAAAAATGTCGTGCTTTAGCGAAAGTCCCGCTGGCTTAATGTGACAAAAAGAAAACAAATTATTAAAAATTCAAACCTTGACTTGGGGCTATCATTATAACAATGTTAATGAAAGGCTTAGGTTTTTGGCATAAAAACAGATATAAGCTATCATTAAAATATAACTTAGAATTGAAATTATGCCAAATTTAATTGATTTATATTCTTACGTTTATATACTTTGTTTTATTTCTGCATATTTGCATTAACCTATAAGAATTATTATATCTTGGTTACAACATGTGTATTCATTTTTAATCACTCCTGGTGTAAAATAGGCTGAAGCTGGAATCAACGATGGAATACATGTACAGCACTCTCTATTGCAACGGAGAATACAGTGACGTCACTGTCGAGGCCTTCAACAAGCAGTGGCACCTTCACAAACTATGCCTGTCCAGAGTAAAATCTTATAACTCTTTCAATGAATGCACTAATATCAGAGCACTTCAAAGAGAATTTAATAAAAATTAAAGTTGTCTATTCTACAAATTTGAAATTAAAAGGTGGATTTCTTCAAGAATATATTCAAGGGTGGTTGGTCTGAATCCCTTTCGAATAAAATAATATTTAAATTTTCTGATGAGTTGATAACTGAAGAAGGTATTAATTGTCATAAAATTTTGTTTCATATCTTTTTAAACGTTTTGACCTTTTTCAATTTTTTAAATGTTCACAAACTGTTTGATATGTTATAAAATTAATTCATGTGATATCATTTGTCATTCAAGCCTTCTAAAATATTCAAAATATTTTAAAATCTTATTATCACCAAGCTTTTTCCAAAACATTGGAATCTCTGTACACGGGCAACATAGATTTAAATCTATCCAATGCTGCAAACGTTCTGGCTGTGGCTTCCTGGTTTGGCATGGTGGTTAAAACAATTTATTTTTGTATTTCTTTTCTTTTCCAATGTATTTTTATAATAATTTTCCAGGAAGATTTGATGGAACTGTCCACTGATTTTCTAACTGAAATACTATCGTAAACTTTTATTTTTATTTTTCTTTTCAACTGCGCTTTAATGAAATTTGTTTATTTTTCAATTTAAAGTTTTGATACGGTTGTGCAGAACATTGAGCTTTCAAAAAGATATAACCGACCTGAATTGAAAAGTCTGTCAGTCAAATTTTTAGCTTACAACTTCTTCATAAAGCGGTCCCCCAACTTAATCCGAAATATTAAGTTATTATTGTATTTGAATCTATTAATTATTTTTATTGAATTTTTTGTGTCATGTGTGGAAAGAACCCATCCTAGATCACTTGCTATTTACATCTAAACATTTAAATTTCTAGTTGAAATCTCTAATTTTTATACAAGAATAACTTTCGAGTGCGTCTGTTACAAATATGACAGAGTTATTAGAATTTAATTATGAATACGTATTGTTAAACATTGAGACATTGCATTGGACACTAATAACGGAGTCACCCTACCATAATTATACTGGCCAGTGTGGATTTGATGCAGGAAATTTTGACGAGCAAGCACCTGGCGGTCATGAACTTGGAAAAAGACGTTTATTATTTACTCAAAAAAGTTTGCACACTGTCACCATTTTAATTTATAATATTTCATTCACGGTTAACATTTTATTTCATTTCGAAAATTCTCTAGTATAACCAAGACGTTGTTTATTTTTGCTAGTTATATACATAAATATTGAAAAATAATTTCGAAATTACATATATTTTATGAAATTTACAACTCTCGATAAAACTTCATCGCGTTATTATTAATTACTGAAAATTTCTTCTGATTAGCACTCAAAACTACGAGAACTTCAATATGATAATTTCACACCTAGCAAAAGTTCCATTACACATGATACTTTCGGTCTGGGTGGCCTGGTGACATAGTGCTTAAAGTGGCTTAGTGCTGTTTCGCACCGCCTTTAGTGAGCGCTTTCGAATATGACAAAATAATTCTTCTGAGCCTAGGATCATTAACTATATATAGGATATATATATATATATATATATATATATATATATATATATATATATAGGCAATAAATATTTGAATCTAAAATTTTATAGATATGGTGATTTTTCATATTAATGAAATTTATTCTAACAGTGGTTGTTTCTAAAGTTGAATAAAGATTGGAATGGTACTGAACATGAACTGAACTTTGCGTGCGAACAGTTTTTCAAAGGTAGTTTTCAGATTTTTGCATGAGTTCTCTTTTGTTTTTCTATGAGCAAAAAGCTCAAAATTATTCAATTCAAACTAGTTGATCAACTTGTTTCAAATGCTAATAACATATAATTATGATTATAACCAGCAAGATAATCATCAAATACTTAACACTCATTCAGACTTCAAACACTCTGGAACACCACCCTTTCCAGCTGAAACATCATCAACAGAGATTGTCAAGGAACACTCTTTTTTGGAGACTAAAGAAGGATCCGTGTACCAAAAAGCTTTTGAATCTTTGAGGATGGAACACGCCATTTGCTCCAAAAAATTTTGTCAGATTGTTAAAGCCGACAACATCATACCAAAAAGTACTTTAATTTGTATTCTATGTTTTGTTCATCCATCATAATCTGTTTATCTATGTTTATATTCATAAAAATGTGATTCAGGCTGGCAAATGTCCGCTTATGATACACAATGGTCAAAGGTTATAAGCTTATTGAACCACGGAGCGCTATTGTAAGTTGGCTCGTTTCATGTCTTCGTTCATATCTTATCTGCCATGTAGTGGTGGCCAACATTTTTTAGACATTTTAAATTGATTTCTTTAAATATATATTCACTTGGTGTTTAATTTTAAAATCTTGTTTGAAAGGTGTGCAAACACACCATACTCGGATGAACTTTTTGAAAAAACAAGTGTTAGGTGCGGAAGGGATTTTAAAAAATCTGATTTAGTAAGCTTTTATGAATTTGTATAAAAATAATTCCGGTCAGAATTTAAACAAATAATTAACTTTTTGTCTTACTTAAAATTTGCAGTACTGTTGGAGCTGGGTTGGCCTCAATTATGGCTGTGACTTGGTTTTTTCATGGGATCAAAAGTACGAATAATTATCAGAAACATCAGTCATCGTCAAGATGATTAACTTCCATCATTTCAATCATCTTCTTCATCAAGAAATCTCTTCACTTCAATT